TCATCAGGTAGAGTAAGTTTTTCCTTGCAGTAACTCTAACATGCCTGTACTCTGCTCACCTTTGGAATGGCATCCCCTGTAGAGCCCTTGCTTCTGGCTTGTTTCCGATGAACCCCTCTCAGTAACAGTCTACATGTCGCACGTGCCACCATTCACCACCTTTACTCTCAAGGTTGACTTCACAGTGGATCCTGATACACTTTCCTACAAAGACGGGACTGTTCAGTTCAGTTTCTGAACTGAGAATCCTTTTTAGAAAGGCATCTCAATGGAGTTGGTAGTGAAGGTGCAGTAATTTGCCATCCCGGGCATAGTACTTGAAGAGCATGCATTTGGGTCCATAAACGAGTGATGGCAGATTCTGGCTCTGCTATTTACTGCCTTTGTTATTTTGTCTTTCTCAGACCCAGTTAGCTCTGTAAACATGCAATGGTAATATCTATCACAGAGGGCCAAGGCTGAATGAGATAAGATATGCCGAGTTCTTAGGGTAGAGCAGGGTGCTTTAGTGCTCATTAAATAGTAGTTATTACCCAAATGGCCCCTTTCATTTTCCATGCTATTGCCCCAGTCTCCTGACTGGAAATATAGTTATAGCCATACTGCTTTATTTCTTTAACAGACTGATTCTTTTTTTAAAAAGAATATATTTTTATTGATTTCAGAGAGGAAGGGAGAAGGAAAGAAAGATAGAAACATCAATGATGAGAGAAACATTGATCCTGCATGCTCCCTACTGGAGATCAAGCGCTCAAGTGGGGCATGTGCCCAGACCAGGAATCGAACCTCAACCTCCTGGTTCATAGGTCAACGCTCAACCACTCAGGCACACTGACCAGGCAGCATACTGATTCTTTAAGGGGTGAAGGGGAGTGAACAATAAAGAATGTCCTCTTTAGAGAAAGGGAAGAATCAGATTCTAAGTGGGTGTGGCATGATGTTCCATCATCTATTTGCAAAGCTGTGGTACATAATAAATAGGCAACATAATCCTGGATTTTTATGCTTTTTTAAATAAAATTTTAAAATTCAAGTTTAACCATATTAAGTGCATATTAGATTGAATCATGTAATGAGTCACTTCAATTTTTGACAAGCTTCTTCATTCTCCCTTAGATACTTCCTGTAATCAAAACCCATTTTCAAATTCACAGGAAGATATTATCTAATGATCCACTCAGTCTTTTCATGTTCTTAATTTGAGGTCAGTTTCAGTGGCCTGTCTCACATCAGCTGTCATTTTTGTGATTGAAATGTCACTTCACATTACAGTTTTCAATGGGACAGTTCTCATCTTTGGTTTCAATTCAATTTAATTCAAATCAGATTCATATGTCTCAGAGCAATTGAATTCGCTTAAAATCCCCTCTGTCCAGAAAAGATTATAACCACTACTCCTGCTGATGCCACTAAACTCCCTGAAACCCTCTAAACCCCAGGTGCTGCCTGGGAGGCCTGATAACAAAGTTGCTGCTGCTTCTGCCCACTGAAATGGGCCTGGTGCCAGCACTGAACCAGCAAGGCCAGCCTTAGGGCCACCAGGGCTTGAACACCATTGTTATCTACAGTCTTGATGCCGTGGTCACCACCACCCCATCCCCCCACCAAGTTCGTACTGGGTCAGGTTGGTTGGTTGGTTGAGTTTTTCCAATCTTCTTCCCACAAGACAAACCAAAGGGGTTGAGCCACTGCAAAATTCACCCGTGCCATGCTCGAAATCGCCCTTCTCCTGGAACAACTGAACTGCTTTTCTCACACTGACTTGTATCCCTGACTTTCCCCAGGAGAGCATCGTTTTCAAGAAGCTTCTCTTACAAGACCTCTGGTGGAGATGAGTCCTGCATCCCATTAGACACACTGAAACTCCTTTATCCCATCATCATGTGGCTGGCGGACCAAAAACATTCTGGGGACTTAGTGGCACTGCCCCAAGTAGGAAAACATAGGGTACTAGTAGGACCAGGCAGTATCAGGGCCCAGAAAACTTACTCAGCTGGAGAAGGGGAGACCGTAGTCTACTCCACAGTATTCTCAGGGGCTGAGCTTGACTCCAGCTAATTGTGCACAAGGAAACTCACTAACTGAGCGAAGGCCAGCTATGGAGGCCAGATTGGAGCTTTCCTGTGGTTTGGTCATCGGCAGGCTGGCCTCAGCTAGTGGTATTACCGAGCCTGGGAACTGGTAAAAGACTGGCTGAGGTTGTAGCCCAGCCCTCTAAGCGGGCTTCAGATTAGGCCAGAACAAATCTGAAAAGGGGGGGTGGTCCCTGTGACATGGGCATTTCGGGAGAGCTCTACCCAGACAGTCTGAAGGGACTGCTCAAATGGAGGTGAAATAAGGTCAGAACAGGGGAAGCCTGGGGTTGTACATAGAACTGAGGGGCAAATGAGACACACACGCAGGTCACTAGCCAGGGGGATCCGGAGGGATGGAGTAAGAAGGTGGGAACCATAAGTGGGGTATGGCACCTGCTGCATTCTACTAATTAGACTGGAGTTTCCTATAATTACCTCATCTGCCTAGAAAACCAAGGCAGAAGCTTCAATGGATAGACTGAACTTACAGAATGAGTATAGGGATCATGTAATTGTTAGAGCTTAGACTTTGAAGTTAGACATCTTGGGTTCACATCCCAGCTCTGACACTTAGTAACAGTGTGGCTTTGGGTAAATTAATCTTTTGGTATCTCTGCATCCTCCAGTAAAGAACCTCGTAGGATTCTCTTAAGGATTTGAACAGTTCCTTTCCTTGTGCCTGGCACACAACAGGTACTAAAAAGCTGGAAGAATGTGGCACATGGCCTAGTTGTCTAATAGCAGGATAACTAATTCCAGACCGAATTCATTGGTGGGGCTGAGCCTGTCCATAGATTGCCTTCCCTGATATGGAAGGACACAGGCTGCTCACTGGACCTGCAGCTGTGGGCCTCACAGCTGAGAGAAGGGGCTCTGGGAAGCGGGACCTGCTGTGGGTGGTGGATGGGGAAGTAGAGCCATTCAGAGGGAACTCCGGAGCATCAGCTAGCCTGGGAGCGTTGCATCTGAATCACAATATAAGGCAAATATCCATTCACATTTCCCTCCTGGACTCAGAAAGGAACATAGCCTTCCCCAGGAGCATGGGTGCTCCCACACCCAGAAACGAGCTTCAAAGCCCCGGGTCGCAGTCCGACATGCTTTTCCCTCGCCAGTGTACGCTCTCTGGCTTGTGTTTCTTTCTCTACTAGCCTCACGTGTGAACATCTGGGCTTTGAAATTCAGTTCATGTATCCCGGTTGGAGAATGCCTGGGCTCTCCCATAGTGTATGCGCATCGTTTTTGTTATCGCCATGTCCCTGGCAGTGACTCCCGTTTTCTTTCTCTCTGTGACTCAGCATGAATTCCCTCCATCGGCACTGGGAAATGGCCTGAGTTGATAAGTTAAGGTGAAGGCTGGGCTGAGGAGGAAAAAAAAGATCTTGCTGCTCAAAGTCTGGGCTCCACTGAAAGCCTGCCCTTCATGGACTGGAAACAAGGAAGGGATGTTGCACCACGCAGACCCCCCTCAATTCCCCAGCTCACTTCCCACGACTCTGCCCCTCACTCCACCCCGTTCTGACAATACATCCAGTGCCCCACGTGCCCTTTCCTGCTTGGTGCCTGTGCACAGGCTCTCTCCTCTCCTGATGGACACCCTCCCCTTCAGCCTAAATCAGGGGTCCTCAAACTACAGCCCTCGGGCCACATGCAAATACAAATATTGTATTTGTTCCCGTTTTGTTTTTTTACTTCAAAATAAGATATGTGCAGTGTGCATAGGAATTTGTTCATAGTTGTTGTTTTTTTAACTATAGTCCGGCCCTCCAATGGTCTGAGGGACAGTGAACTGGCCCCCTGTTTACAAAGTTTGAGGACCCCTGGCCTAAATGCTCCAACTCAAGAAGTATCCTTCTTCTTGTTTGTCCCTTTGCTTTGGTTCTTTAGATTCCACGTGTAAATGAAACCATATGGTATTTGTCTTTCTGTCTGACTTATTTCACTGAGCAAAATAACCTGCAGGTCTATCCATGGTGTCGCAAACGGCAAGCTTTTAATTCATTTTTATTGCTGAGTAATATTTCATTGTATATATGTACCACATCTGCTTTATCCATCCATATATTAATGGAAACCTACATTGCTTCTATATGTTGGTCATTGGAAATAATTCCTCAATATATATAGGGGTGCATATATCTTTTTTAATTCGTGTTTTTATTTTGTTCTGATAAATACCCAGAAGTGGAATTGCTGGGTCCTGTGGTAGTTCTATTTTTAATTTTTTGAGGAAACTCCATACTGATTTCTGTAGTGGCTGCACCAATCTGCGGCCCTACCAACAGTGCCCAAGGGTTGCCTGTCCGCTTCCTTGCCAACACGTGTTATTCATTGACTTTTTGCTAATAGCTATTCTGACTTTTGTGAGGTGGTAGCTCATTGTGGTTTCAATTTGCTTTCTTTGCAGACTCATAGAAACAGATTAAACTGATGGCTGCCAAAGGGGAGGGGGTGGTGCATGGGTGAGAAGGTGAAGGGGAATATAGTCAATAATATTGTGATAAATTTTCATGGTGACACACGATTACTAGACTTAGTGTAGTGGTCACAGTGTAAGGTATATAAATGTCTAATCACTTTATTGTATACCTGGAACTAATGTAATATTTATACCAACTATACTTAAAGATTTTTTTAAAAAATTTAAAGACTTATCTTTCAGCATCCTCTCTGCAGCCTCCTCAACCCCATGGAAGCTCTTCCCTCCCTCCTACTTGCTCTGATGCATTTTAATGTGCACCTCTGTTATTCAGCTTCCCATGTTGTAATTTCTCCCTCTGTGAGCCCCCTGGAAAGCAAGGTGTGTGTGTCTTACCCATGGGACTGCATCCCCTGCATCCAGCACGGTGCCTGGCACTTGTTTGCTACACATTAAAAATATATGGGTGAAAACCAAAGCATTCTTTTTGTTTCTTCTTCCTGCAGAAACGATGACTGTGGGTAAGAGAACTGCTTTGCCAAGGACACAGTAGGACAACCATCTCACAAAGATCTTAAGTAACATTCCCTATCCAACAACGCCCGGACGACTCCAGTGACCAAATGCTCAGCTGTAACCACAGTGATAACTGGCCTTCTTTCCAGACTGGGTTTGGTGAACATGAATGGTCCAGTTGTCTTCAGATGGTCTAAGGTGGTGTGCTGTCGGGGCAGCACGTCTCTCACAGTCAAGAACCAGGATTGGACCATGGAGGAAACCAGCTGATACAGTGAGAGGACTGAGAGGACCTTGAGTACCAGGACTCTCAGTGATGGCACAGCATCTGCCCTGGCAACGTCATACTGACATGATGCTATTTGTTTGAATGCCCTGGAAGGACAGAATACTTCAAAATATATCCAGGTGCTAACTAGGCAGCAGGTTTAATTCATCTTTGAGCTAATAGCTGTCTCCAGAAAATATTTTACCCAAAAAGTGTTCCAGCTTTGCCAGGAATAGCTCCAGGAATGGAGTAGGATAAGCACGCTGTTCCCCTGGAGAAAATCTAGTGCAAGGAGGGCTAGCTCACAGCAAACCGACTGCCCTCTCCCATACACATGGCAGCGAGTACCAGTTGATCGTGACCCTCTCGTCTGCTAAACCCAGGTTCTGAGGAGTCAGAATCCACAGCACTGTCTTCTGGGTAGCCAGCAGCCACTTCTTCCCAACCAGTGTTGGCATTAGAGTGAAAGTTATCATCCCTGTTAGCGAGGCATCCATCTCAGTGGTGTAAGCATTCCAGAGTACCCTTTCCCAGACTCATTTGTCCACGGGTGGGGGGGGGGGGAACAGACT